GCAAGCATTAAAGCCCACAACTTTTGCCTTTCTCAATCCCTAACTCAAATAGTCAACTTTCCAAATCGCTTTTCAGACAACCCGAATCATTTACCTTCTCTACTCGACTTATGTCTTGTTTCTAATCCTAGTCAGTGCTCAGTTTCTTCACACTCACCCTTAGGTGCTTCTGGTTTGGTCTCTAAAACTATTATCTCATTCTTCTTTACCATCAGAATCCCCCTATCATCGTATATCCTACAACTACCTTAAAGCTGACTGGGAATCTTTTCGTGATTTTTTTTGTGATGGCCCTTGGTTAGAAATCTTTTTTCTCCCTGTTGACAAATGTGTTTCTTACATAACTTCGTGGATTCAGGCTGGCATGGAATCCTTTATTCCCTCTCGACGATTCCAGGTCAAGCCTCACTCTTCTCCATGGTTTTCCTCGCATTGTGCTGCTGCAATTGCCAATCGAAACCATTACTTCCATATCTATCAGCTAGACAATTCTCCAGAAAACAGACCTCTGTTTATTACTGCTTGAAACCATTGTAAAAAGATTTTGTCTAACGCTAAAGCCCGCTATTCTCAGATCATGAAATCTTGTATTTCATCTCAAAAATTAGGCTCTCGTGACTTCTGGAGAATCTTTAATAGTATAAATAATAAGGGCAAGTCTGTAATTCCACCTCTTTTGTATGGTTCAGATTTTGTCACCTCACCTAAAGACAAAGCTGAACTGTTTGTTTTTAGGTGAGGTGACAAAAACTGTTTGAACTGTTTCACCTAAAGACAAAGCTGAACTTTTCATCAATATCATCTCTTGATTCCACTAGTTGCGTTTTACCTGATGTAGCCATCTAACAGGTTGATTCATAGCTCGACATCTGTATCACTCCAGCTAGTGTATTTAAAGTGATTTTCCGCTTAGACTCTACAGCTTGCGGCCCAGACAACATACTTACTATAGTCTTGCAGAAGTGTTCTCCGGAGCTGTTGTCTATCCTTTTAAAACTATTCAACAAGTGATTATCAGAGTCTTGTTTTCCAGCCTGCTGGAAAGCAGCATCTGTTATCCCTATTTTAAAAAATTCGGGAGAGTGATCTGATTCTTTTAACTACCATCCCATTAGTCTTCTTCCTATCATAAGCAAGGTTTTTGAATCTTTATTTAACAAACACTTAATCTCTCATCTTGAACCTTATAACTTACTTTCTGATCATCAATATGGATTTTGATCTTCTCAATCTATGGCTGATTTGCTAACAGTAATAACCGATAGGTTTTATTGCCCATTTGATAAAGGTGGAGAGGTTAAGGCCATTGCTCTCTAAAACTTTTTAACTTTAAACTTTTATAAGAAAGTTGAAATATTTAACAAGTTCTAATTTTTCTTTGATTCATCAAATTAGGATATTATGCCGAACTTCATAGAGTTTAACAGCAAAACCCTTACATATATACCCCTGATGGAAATATTTTCTGTGCAACAAAGAAATTGAAACAGTTATGTTCAAACTAAGCCATCGCAAACAAATATTGAAAATTACTGGCAGATTAACAAAAGCTCTTCATACGTATCTACTTCAGTTACATAAAATAAATTTAAATAAGGAACTGGCACATTCTCCATTATTTGTATATAAATGTACACAATAGCAGAGATTATCCTTGTCATATTTAAAATTTTTTTTAAATATGACAAGGATAATCTCTGCTATTGTGTACATTTATATACAAAAAAAAAAAGTATTTTTAAGAAATATCTGAAAAAATTCAGAAATAAAAATGCATTTTGTGTAACTAAAAATATCTCATGTGTCTAAGAAAAGAGCTTTGGCATTCTTTTATATAAAAGAAAATTTCAACACTTATAGAGTTTATAAATTAATATAATTTATATAAAAAAATTATTACCTTTACTGTTTTAATTGTTTGATGACAAAAAAAAATATTTTAAACATGTATTTCCAGAAAATTATTATATATCCAGAAAAAAAAAATTTAGAAAAATATCAGTATTTCCGGAAATATCCGGAAAAAGATAATCTGTGCAATAGAGATAATAATTAGAATTTGGGTTTAGTGAGGATTGTAGAGTGTATTGTAGTGTGATTGTAGTGAGGATTGTAGATTGTATTGTAGCGAAGATTGTAGTGAGGGTTGTAGGAAGAATGCAAAATGAAAAGATTTTACTTAAAAACTCTTTATATTTGTTTTAAATCTTAAAAATAGTATTGTGTAACAAAAAAAAATTGGAAAACTATTACAGATTAATCAACAGCTTTGCATTGCTCATGATATTCAGCTAGCAATCAGCTTTTTATAATACGTCAGCATCAATACGTCTGAGACAACTAGTAGAGGATGTTGCCATAGAAAGTTTGGATAATGAATCTGAATTTAGTGAAAGTTGTGAATCAGATAGTGATGCTGATGGATATGAGTTGCTTTATAGTGGAAATTCAATTGTAGATATAATAACTACAAATAAAGAAATTGGGCCGGTGATAAATAAAGTTAGAAAAATTGTGATGATTTTTAAAAGGACAAAATGATAGTCAAAAATATATAAAAAGCTGTTTTTGAAAAAACCTTCATTTAATAAAAATTTGCGAAACAAGATGGAGCAACCTGCAATCAAGCTTTTGAAACATCTTTAAACTCTAAAAATAAAAAAATGTTGGACCTTCTAAATAAATAAAAAGTCACAAATTTAAATCATCCTAAAAAGTCATTAGACAATGTTGAAGATTTGTCAAGTGAAGAAGATATCATCACAGAAAATAATGAAATAACAAAAACTATTAGTGAACAATAAAAATGAAGCATTAAAAAAAGGGATGCAGAGTCCCAAAAGGACTCCAGTTTTATATCACTATTTTTTTTCCTGGTCTCTGGTATTCAGAAGCTTTAAACATGTTAGTTGATTTATGATCTGCAAAAAGAAAATAAAATCATGAGATTTAATGACTTGAAACTTATTGTTTTTAAGCCTGGAGTCCCAGAGTCAATGCTGCCATTATACCTAAGGACTCAAAAATTGATTGTTCCTCTTAATTAAAAGTCTTAATTTTTTTTTCCCATTAGTACTCCATAAGTTTTTAAATATTTTTATAAAAAAATATTAAAAAGCTTATAGAGTACTTTTGGTATACAGCTCCTGTATACCAAAAACTAGGAAGAAATTACCATTTTGTGACTTAAATCTGAAGTCCTTTTTTTTCTTTTCATTTTACCCAGCAGCCAAGGCGCAGTTGTTAGAGTTCTGGCTCAGAACCAAGAGGTTCCAGGTTTGATGTCAGCTTTAGCCCAACAAGCGACATTGATATGGAAAGAGGCATGAACTTCTTGTTAAATGCTCTTCACTTCCCCAAGCCCATAAAGGCTACTAAATTTGAGGAAGCTACTTTAGTTGTAGTTATAACCCTCTCTCAACTCTATAATTCTGAAACATGAACCTTGATGAACAAGGAGGCTGCGTGGAGAAACAAGTTGAGGATTGTACTACCAGGGACATGGTGGGGATCGAACTTAAAACTTCTCTCTTATGAACGCTAAAGTTTTTTAGCAACAGCAAAAACAAACCTTCAAGTTAAAAACTATTAAAAGAAACGCCATTATTTGAAAGTGGTTGTATATAGATAAGTCTCTGAATAAAACTAAATAATAAATAGTAAATAATAATTTTATTTACTTTATAAGTAAATAGAATTTTTATGAATTTCTTACATTTCTTTATATCCTTGAATAAAATTTTATTTTTTTGAAAATTGAGTAATATATACTCATTTTAACATATAATAAGTATATAAATTTTTAAATAATTATTCTTATAAATTTATATATTTTTATATTCTCAGGAAAAAAAAAAAGTATTCAATGTAACTAATTCTTTCACCCAGGCACCATTTAAGCCTTGGCGCCTGGGTGAAAGAATTAGTTACATTTTTTATTTATATTGTTAAAATAAAATTTTTTTATCATTTTTATAAACTTTAATTACTATTCAAAACTTTTATGTATATATTTTATGTTCTTCTCTAAATTTTATATTCAGATTGTTCTCGCAAAACATTATAATTGAATATTTTTAAGTAAATTTTTAAGTAAAAGTAGTTCTGCTTATTCAAGTTCAATTAAGTTTAGTAATAATTGAAATTAAAAGTTTAAAACTCTGTTTAATAAATATTGTGTTGAAAATATTTAGAAATAGTAAGCTTATATTAGGTGTTTAGTGTCATAATTTATTTTCTCAGTATAGTTATCAAGCTCTATATTGTAGATGATAATATTGATAAGGATCCTCATTTATATACTTTAGCATACTTTTCCTTTTTTGGATCAAACTATTAATATTATGGATTGCTTTAATCCATTCTCTTTGCTATGGATTAGCTTAAATCCAATCTTCTTCTTTTAAAAGTTTATTTTCCAAAAGAAGCTTTATAAATTTCAAATCCACATTAGTTTTCACATCTTTTTGTGTAAATAACAACACAACTGGTTGAAATAATTTAATTCTTTTTAAAAAACCAGTAAGTGAATAAATTGCCTAACAAAACATACAAACATCTTTATGTCTTGCTGGAAAATTTTTTATTTTTTCAGCAAAAGACAGAGATTATTTGTTTTTTCTGCCTACAAGTATGAGTGCGCATCACTTTTTTGAAAACAAGTATGTAAACATTTGTAATTCATCTATAGATTTATATTCTTCAGAAAATGATTTTTTAATGATAATTAAACCAAAAAGCATAGAGTCAGATAAAGTATTTTCTGCTGCAGGAAGATTTTGCAGTAAAATATGAAGTTGATTAAGTGATCAAAGTTTAGATAGCTTTTCTAAAGATAAAATAAATTATTTTATTTACTATTAATTTTAATTCAGATTTAAAATTAATCCCATGATTGACAGTCAATCAAATATTTTTTAAATAAAACAACAGTAAAAGAACTTAAAATGGTTATATAAGTGAAGGAAAAATTAAAAACTTTTTTCAAATTAAAAACTCACATTTATGGCAAAAAAAGTCAGTATGCAACATGTTTTTTATAATAGATTTTTCTCGCAAACTCAATGAACTTCTGGTATTTTTTCGAATAAAATAAATACCAATTACCATCTAAAAGCACCAATAATCACCATAACACATGCATGTTGTATATTTATACAACATGCATGTGTTATATATTATAACATTAATATATTTATATATAGTATTAATCAGGAGTTTAAAAAAGAGTCTTAATATGAGCACGGTGGACCAAAAAGACCGCCAGTTTTTATGTTGTGCCAATTAAACCAAACTTTTTTATTTAAGAGTACTTGTTATATAATAATAATAATAATAATAAAAAAGTTGCTTTTAAATCAAATCTAAGTGCTAAGGGTCCAAAATAGGGTAAAATGGAAGTTTGAGGGGCCCCAAACCCATTTAAGATTTTTTTTTTTTTTTTTACATATTAATTGTTTTTTGCTCCCTATATTTAGTTCAGAAGTTTAGATTTGCAAAATTATTAAAAAATAATTATTTTTCATTACCCAGGTACAGTGTACCCAGGATCCAATAAAAAATAGAAAACTTTTTTCTTTTTAATCTTTTTTTTTTAATTTATTTAAATGAATTGAAAACAATAATAAACATAAAAATTATTTACAATACAAATATAACCAACATATAGAACATAGAACATAAACCTACTAAACATAACTAACTTTTCTTCCGTTAAAGTCAATCACAGAAAGAACTGATTCTCTTCATTATTCAGCAAACATAGATAAGCCACAATTGTGCTATTCAACAAAAGGTTGCACATGACACAAGAGTACTTTCCAACTTATTAAAGGTTTTTTCCCAAGAATGTTAGCTGTTTCTTGAGCAGACAAAAAGGAATAAAATATATTTCTACCTTAAGGTAGGATATGTGGTATACAGTTAGCAAGGTATAATTTTCTTCTATTTAGGGTAGATATTTATTATTATTATTTTTTAAATCTTATTTTAGGTGCCCCAAGAAGCCCTTAAGGTCTTATCAGAAAGCTTTAAGGTAGAAAATTGTATGACAATTTTTTGTTTTTAATATAATTTTCTACCTTAAAAAAAAAAGAAAATCATACCTAACTAAGGATATATCACATATCTTATTCTACTTTTTTTTTTTAGTGTGATATAAATTTTGAAAGTTTTAAATTATGCTGTATATATTTATAGCAAAAAATTATACATAGCAAAAAAAACTTCTAATTGTTAAAATAAGAATTTAAAATTTCCTAGATATATTAGACACAATCGTTCAATATACACCCAGCAAACTCAACTTATGCAAAAGAATAAAAGCTTACACTTATAGACGTTTGTACCTAATGCTATACAAATAACAGAACTAAGAAGATGATGTAATTTTAGAGAGTCATGACAAATCTAAAATCGAAATTTTAAAATTTCCACTGGGATAAAACAACATGTTTTGTATTTTTTTAATCTTGTCAATTTTTTAAATACAATAACATACTAAATTAAAAAAAACAAACAGTTTAAGCAAAACAGATGTGTAATTATAAGAAAAGTTTTGTTATATTCTATATAAAACATTATATAAGTGGATTTTTTACATTTGCATATAATATATTTGTTTATGGTTATATTAGATGCTACACAATAAAGCTAATTTAGAGAACACGCTTGAAAAGTGTTGATTAATTGATTATAGCAAAAAAGACTTAATTTTTTAAAAGTTTTTTCTACCTACAATCTTTTTTTTTTAAATTTTGCCTCTACATCAGCACCTTCTGGAGTAGCAGGATTGTCTTATTAAATTTTTTTTATTAAGTTTCAGACTATAATTGTTTTTCATACCATCTGCAGCTTATTTGGACTAATTACCTGAGCACATTAATAACATAAGTATCTCAACCATGACTCACACACAACAAATTTCCTGTGACAGATCTAGCACTTTTTGGTCTATGAGATAATTTCCAGACTTGGAGCAAACTCCAAACATTTGTACATTTAAATCACAAACACCAAAAAATGCTGGATTTGTTACTGCAAATTTCTTCCACTGCAGTGGGGCAATAGGTGGACAAAACTATAAAAATCAATGTTTGATAGCTTAAATTTTTTTATAAAATTTTGAATTAGATATATTGGGGACCTCAAAAGTATTTGATTTAATTATTAAAAGAATATATTCGCGGAAAAAAATCATATTCAGTAAAGTTTTTGCACAAAAAAAATAGTGATAAAGTAAAAAAGTGTAGTTTTTATATAATAATTAAATATTTTTATTAACTGATCAAATAATTGTTAATATATAAAATTTATAAAAAAAAAGAATTCAAAAAAATCTATAAACTAGTTTTGAATATAAGTTTTGGTGCAAATGTCCTATTTTAACTTTTTTTTTTGAAAGGACAACAAGGAAAAATTTGTGCTCTATAGTATCTAAAGTCATTTTAATTTTTAGTTTAATACTATTATTTGTAATATGTCAACATGTACAAGATATCAAGTTCATCAATTCATAAGACAGCATGGTTTATCTATGTCCAATCAAAAAGACAAACTTGATGTTCACATTTTTATTTGCGAATACTTTACTCAATTTGATGCTCAATTTGTAACTTTTTTGTCAAAGTATTGTAAACGTTGGTCTTTAAGTTGAAGAGTTGATGAAAACTTCTTGCAACCTCATTCCTAACTCCAAGAAAAAGCCTATTAAACCATCAAAAAATTAGGATAATACAAAATCTATAGTTAGTGGTAAGCCTGTGAAATCATTTGAAAATTCATCAAATAAGACAAAGAGTCATAAAGTAGCAGCTATCGACTTATTAACTAGTTATTTAAATGAACTGTTATAAGCTGGTAGTTGTAACCTTTTCAAAAATGACAGAAGAATTAATGAAAAGTAATTTAAAGTTTATCTGTACAGCAGCCTTCTGATTCAGAACATGCTCAAAATACTCTAAAAAAGCTCTAGTACTCATATTAGATAATAATATGAGCGAATCTGATTACTTAAACTTGAGAAATAATGCTGTGAGTAAAGGTTGTAATCTCTGCATACAAAAATGTTCCTGCTGATAAATAATAATGTCGTGCTTTAAAATACATTATGAACTATTAATAGTTTTTCTGAAAAAATAAACTTTCAATCATTAGTTAATCATACAACAATACGCCTAATACAGCAGAAACAAGTTATCAATTCCATGAATGATTTTGAAAGACTAACATTACATTCTAAAGTTCAGTTTGATAGATTAACTAGCCTAAGGATTTATAATCAGGCAACAGTTGAGATAGAAAACCAAAATTTTTTAGTAGAAGCTAAAAATATGTTGTTGACAGAGATAGGTGTCTGCTTTGGCCTTTTAACTTTCCATGCTTAGAATAAAAGCATGGAATGTCTTCTTAAAATTACCCATAAATTAACAGTGAAAAGTGGTCTATAAGGATACCATTTGAAAAGAAAATTATCCAAGGAAGAAAGCAGAAAATTCAAATAAAGTTTCGTGACAAAGTTGGACTGGTAGTTAATATGTTAATATCTGGTGGCTCTGGGTCATCAAATAATGGAAACACTGCTAGAAGACTTTTTTAGAGTGCAGAAAAATTTGCTCTAATTCTTGAACTTGATGTCAGTACGATAAAGATGTTACATATTATTTTGTGTACATTGTTATCTAGCTTTTTAATTGACACTTCATTATTTAGGGAGTTTTGAGCTTCTTGTGCCTCTTCAGTAAAGAGGCACAAGAAGCTCAAAATAAAAACTTAAAGAAGTTTTGTGAATCATTTTCCAAAAAGTGTTTGCGGTCAAAAAGAAAATGAAGATTTGTCAAGGCAACTATTATGTTCTTTTTACCCTTTGATAAGTAGTTTGAGAAAGTCATATTATCCTAAGAGCAATGCTTTTCTAATTGGCATTCTAAATGTACTCAAAGAGGTTTCAATTTTTGACTAATTGTAAATTGCAATTGCATAGTTTTGATTTTAGTTGGTATTCAAGGTGTTGTTTACTTTATTAGTATTTATTTTTTATATACTAAAATAATGCATGTTACGTAAATAAACGCTTTTTTGAATATACAAATTTGCTTGTACTCTTACATATACTTTATAAAGTATTCAATAGCTCTAACTGTATTAACACTTGTTAATTTTCATTTGGTTGCATTTGGTTAATTGGTCATTTGTGAACTGCATAGATACAATTAGTTCAAATTTTATTAACTGTGTCTATAAACCCTTAAGGTAAGATTGTTTTCAAAGTTTTAATTTCATTTTTGAATTAAAGAAATTTTGAATTAAGCAAGTTTCATTAAAAAAAAAAAAAAAAAAAAAAAAAAAAATTTTTTCTAAGAGCACAAAACAGCATAGCAACACCAAAAGTTACTAATTTTTGTTTGTGTTATCATTTAAACACATAAAATAGCATCATAACAATATTATCAGTTTAGTTTATAAATTTGGTATTTTAAGAAAGTCTCTTAACTTAGGTAACTATGCAAAATATACTGTTGCTATGGAATATAGATATCCATAGCAACTAAATAAACAATCTAATGGTACCATTAAATTCGTAGTATGAAATATACTCAACCTGGCAACTATGGGGTAAATCTGATTAATATTTTAAAAGTTATTACTTTTGTCCAGCTAATAATGATCTTGGCCCACAGTGCACTGTTTTGATGATTTTAGAATTTTTAGGCTTTTTTAAAACTCTCTTTGCTTTCTTTTTTATAGTGTATATTATCTTTAAATATGTTATGTATATAATATTTATAAGACTTCAAAAATGTTTTATTTTGTATTTTAGAAAAATCTTCTTTTTTTTTTGAGTCACAACTTTATGCTTTAGAAACTCTGCAAGCTAACCACTTGGCCATGCAGACATGTTGTTTGTAAAAATTCTAAAACTATCTAAGAAACAAAAGATTTTAAAAAATGGAAATAAATGCTATAGATTCAAAATTAATAAGCTGTTGCCGCAACGTAGTTTTCAAGTGATAGTAAAACTTTGAAACGATACATGCTTTAGCATGTTTACGTTTTCATATAACAGAAAGTACTGAGACTCTTTTTCACCATTACTTTGGTTGCAATGGCTAAAAAGGGTTCTGTGTCAGACACGCTCAAAAGGGCATCACTACTACTAAAACTATTAAGTTGGGCAATAATATATAGAGATTGAAGTTTGATTCTTGTACATCTTTAACTATGGAAAGAATTTGACATTTGATGGTACTAGAAACCAGTTCTAAAAGTTAATAATAATAAAAAAAAGTTACTTAATTTCCATTAATTTGTTATTTTGTGATTTCTGAAAATATGTTGCTTTTTGCATTTTAATAAATATATTTTTAATTTCAAATGTAAAATAGACCATTTACCAGTAACTTTCAGACCAATTTTTATATGATTTCTAATCAGTATAAAATTTTCAATCATAATTAACCATAAAGTTTGATCAACCATGGGCAGGTGGAAATTATACTAACACCTTGTTTTGGCCCATTTTTGCCATTAGTACCTTATTTTGAATTTCAAAAACCTTTTTTTCTGTAAATAAACTACAAATACTGTTGAAAAAAAAAGTTCTTATTCAATTGATACAACATAAATCCTGGCAGTACTTCTGGGCCACTGTGTGAGTTATTAAGATTCTTAAAAAAAACAAACATACTAACTGTGCAAAAACATAAAAATTTTATTTGTTGTGTTTGCTATTAGTGTATTGAGCAAAAATAATTTTTTACTCTACTAATATGATACCAATAAATTAATTATTAAAGAATCAAATATTAAATATAAAAAAATTAATATTAAATATAAAATATATTTAATAATACTAAATATAAAACAACTTATTATTATGTTAGCTACATTTGTTAGAAAAAAAAAAGAAAAAAAAAATACCTCAGCTTGAGTTTTGAAAATAGCTTTAAGTTGTTTTTCAAAAACATCACCCAGATTGTCATAGTAACTAAGAAAATAAAATAGAAACTTATTTTTTCATAAAAGAAATTTTTTAAAGTACTTGAAAATATTTTATTTATAGATAAACTAGGGATTCTAAGAAATTTTATTTATAGATAAACTAGGGATTCTTTGTTTTTTAAAGATTGATGTAATATTAATATGTAATATTATAATATGTAATACAAATATTTTTTTAGGTAGACCTAAAATCTTCAATGATCTGAAGTTAGAATTATTTTGAGGAGGTAACACTCTTCCTTCATACCTATGTAATACACAACAATCTTTTTACTTTTGCAAAAAAAAAATTTAAAAGCTCTGATTTATCATGAGTCAAATTCACACTTAAATGTGAATTTATTGTGCCACATTTTATTTTGATGAATTTTTTAGACACGTAATAAAATGAAATGTTCAATTTTAATTAGTAACTGAAAAAATATAAAATTTAATACTAATACACTATTTTCTGTTTTAACAGCTATCTTTTAATTTTAAATATCTTTCTACATTTTATATCTGATATAGGTTAATTTTAATTTGGCATGTACTGAAATCTCCAACATAACTTGGAGTTCATCACACTCCTCAACATAATTTGATGTGTACCACACTCTTCAAAATAATTTGATGTGTACCAGTCTCCAACATAAGCTAAATTTATAAGAACTTATGATAAAACTTCTATACAAACTTGATCGCAGAGCTGAGTGCACAAGCTGAGAAAAAACTTGTGCAAAATGGATATGGCAAGCCAAGTGAGCTGCTCGCTTAAATAATTTTTTGTGAGGGCTACCGATTTTTATGTGAGCTATCCATTTAGATCCTTTTTTTAAAATCGCCATTGATGTTTGATGTCATAATCAAGTACTTTAATGCTTTTTAAAAGACAATTAATTTGGTTAAAATTCAGATTATAAACTTATAATAGAATTTATTCATTATATAGTTTTATAAAATACATTTCTTTGTTTAAAAAATATGTCTTTTATCATCAAAGTATTTTTTAAATATTTCAACAAAAAAATATAAAATAATAAAGACCTACAAGCAAAAAATGCACATCTTTTAGTCAAATTTTTATAGTCAATTTAAGAATCACGCATTTTTTATTTTTTTCACGCATGTTACTTTTACTAATATTACTTTTGTAAAACATCAAAAGTAGGTGTTTTCTGCATTAGTTTTTGAGCTTGTGTATAACACAATTCTAGCTTTACTTCTCAACTACAATGTAAAATACTCATAAAAAATTCAAAGAATAAAGTCTATTTTAGATTAATAAATTTTATTTTGTATTATTTTTGTAGAGTGTTTTAAAGAAACAAAGATTTTTTATGCGTACAGATTGCATACAAAGACAATTTTAGGGGAAGGGAATGTGGGGGAAGGGGATGTTTTACCCGCTCAAAGAAGATGATTTTTAAGTTATAGTTGGTTTTTTGATGAACTTAGTCGGGTAGTACGGTGTTTGACACAATTCAGTCAAGTTAATTTTAGTTTTTAAGGACTTTTTTTTTTATTTTTAAGAAACGGTAGTTTCCCCACCCCCCACCCCTCTTATTTTTTAACATATTGATTTATAAAGTCAAAAGTGTCCCAGCAAGATTGTGGCAAAAGACTTTTTTTATTTTATTATTTTAGGTGCCCCAAGATGTCTTTATGGTCTTATCACAGAACACAGTAGAAGAATGTTTGAAAGGTTTACATTTTGAAAAAGTTTACACCTCCTTCCTAACCAATGATGTAAAACTTCCCCAGAGGTGGCGTTGAACAAGCGTACAAACCGCTGTGCTACAGCTTAAATGCACTTAAGCAGTGGAACTTTATTTTTCAATAGTTCAAATTTAGCAAAATAATTTTCCTTACTTTTTGCCTTTCATTAATTAATAACGTCTTCAAATTAAAAAAAAATTGTAAAATACTGCTAACAGGGTTGCAAAAAAAAACGTTTTTTTTTAAAAAAAAACTAAAAACCGTAGGTTTTTAAAAAAAAACACAAAAAAACCTTGGTTTTTTTGGTTTAAATTAGGTTTTTACTAAAAAATGCGGTATTTAGTTATCCTTTTAAATTAAAAAAAGCATAACGTATTTTATTTGAGTAAACTATATTCTTTATTAATATTATTGTTATATTTCATCAAAATTATTCAATATATCATTGTTTAATGTTCTATATATAAATACAAGCTTTGCTGCTTTTTCTACCCCCAATTGGCTTCTTAACTTAGAATGAACAAGACCAAAAGTTGAAAAAATTCTTTCAATTCCAGCACTAAAAGCTGGTGCATTTAATAGACCTTCAATATCCATTATGTTATAGTAGATTTGGCTTTTAATTTGAATAATATTGGTAACAAATTCTTGAACTCTTTATCTGCGAAATTCATGGCAGCTTCATTTTCTAATCAGATTTAATCAGAAAGATTATATCCAAAATATCTAGGATCTAGTATGTTTACCAGAAAATGAGCATCACTGACAGTCTGAAGGTATCTAGATTCATTTTTTTTTTTTTTTTTTTTCATTTGATAAAAATGATAAACTGTTCATCAATTCTTTAAAAATTTCAAGAGTCACTTATTTTGTTCGATCTCTTTGCAACTTATCTAGAGCTACTGCAATTGGTTTCAATATTTTCAATAAATCTTCTGTGTTTCGCTTTATCTGTATATCACTTTCTTTTTATTATTATACCAACCTAGGATCCAAGTCTTTATTTTTTTCAAACATTGTGAAAATAATGCTCCAGTTGTTGACATTTTTCAAGTGAATCACATACAGAATTCCAGCGAGTTTCAGTAGGAAGTGGCAATTTTGTTCCTCCGCTTAATTTATAAATTGCTTCAGCTTGATGATTATTTCTTATACATTTTATTATTTGTGTAACATGCTTGCTCACATTTTCAATGTTCCTATCATTTGCTAAAAGATTCAGCATATGAGCAGCACACCCATAAGTTATGATAATATCTCTTTTAGATGACAATACTTGTCTCATTGATTTTATATTAGCTGCATTGTCAGTTACAAAGCTTTTTACTGTGCATCCAAATTTACTCTTGCTAATTGTGTAAGATATTCACCAGTACGTGAATGACCAGAAGTGTTAATTGTTTCTACTAAAATGTTAATTTTATCTGTAATTACAGAGATACAAACTATAGGTTCATTATGTACATTACTCCAGCCATCTAAAGACATGGCTGCAATTTTCCCATTCAATACATTACATTTTTTTAATTTCTTCTGTGTAAACCCTATCTAATATTTCTCCTCCAATTTGAGTTCTATTAGGTAGAGTGTATCCAGGATGAAGCATATTGATAAATTAAAAAAAAAAAACCAAAAAAAAATCATGGATTTAAAAAAATATATCTATATTGAAGATCAGTTATATTTGTGAACATAACCCTGTCTTAGTTTCCTGTTGTAAGTTCAAATCTTTTAAAAAAAAACATGAGTTTGGTTTAAACCAATATTTTTTAAATTGGTTTAAACCATGGTTTAAACCAATGGTTTAAACCATTTGGTTAAAACCATGCAACCCTGACTGCAAACATTTATATCAAATCTTTTTATATATAATTTTACAGTTATCAGTAATTTGTAGGATAATTTAATAGATATTGACAAATACAACAATGAACATTAATATGCTTAGCAAAGAATAGGATAAAACAGTTTTAAAAATTTTTGAAAGCAAATGATCATATTTGCTACTTATAGTTATAAAAAAAAACTCAAAAGTAAAAAAAAAATACCAAAAAAAGTGTTTTTCAAAGAGGGCTTTCTAAAATTTGTATGATCTGCTTCACAATATTTTATCATAAAATTGTCCATAACAACTGCTTAAATAAGACATAAAACTATACGCATTATAAAATAACTTTTTTTGAAAACTTCCATAAAATTTCCCAAGTTGAAAATTTCCTGGAAATTTTCAACCTTAATTTGACGTTTAAGTTACTTAAAACCCTCTTTTCCTATAATATCAGGTGCTTTTTTCAAGATTAAAAACTTGTTTGAAATGTTGTCAAAGCTTTTTAAAGTTATTTGAGAATTGTGGAAACATTAAAAAAAGAAATAAGCTTTTATAATTAATTTTAAATTTATTTAACAGATGTTATTTTTCATTTTATATTTATAACATAAGGATATTAAAAAGGAAAATAATATTTACTACAATTTAATTTTATGGTAAATAATTTTAAAGTTTTTCAAAAAAACTTTATTTACAAGCAATTTATGTAATTTTAATATCAAACTTATTTATTTAAAGTTTAATTACAAACTTTCTCTTTTGTATTAAATTTTTATGATACAATATAAATGCCAAGATCTTTTGAATGCTATTATAATCTCATAACCACTTAGAATATATTATATATATATATATTATATATATATATATATATAAATATATATATATATATATATATATATATATATAATATTATATATAATATTATATATATATATATATATATATATATATATATATATATATATATATATATATATATATATATATATATATATATATATATATAAAACATTTTTTTTACTTTTATATTTATCAAATATAAAAATTTATATTTTGCCTGCTGAAGTTTATAAAACACTGTTTAAAAAAAAAACTTATATTTAAAAAACAATGAATTTTATGTATCAAGAAATTTTCTTAATTTTTTACTTTTCCACGAGCCAAAAATAACTTGTGTAAACCAGTTACCAAGAGTTAAATCTCTCTAAATCCACCGTGGCTTTTGCATGCTTCCATTTACTTTTTAATTTAAATAAAATTGTAATCATATTGTTACTCGGTTTATTTACATTATACAAAAAGTAGTATTGCAAATACTAAATTATGTTCATTATTTGTTTCAATAATCTTAAATTATGTTCATTATTTGTTACATCAATCTTTAATTATGTTCATTATATATTATGTTCATATTTCAGAGTAAAGCGAATTTTGGCAGGGTGTATTGTCAAGAACTGTTACTACATATTTCTATACTATAAGAAAAAAAAATATTTTTTTAGATTCTTAACATTAAAATTTATGAATTTTCAAGATGATAATTTAAATAGCTTTTTCAAAATTTAAATAATGAAGTTAATAATATTGATATTTATACAATAATGGATAAATTAAACTTAACATTTATTTACCTGAAACTTTTATTATTTTGAATTGTAGTATGTAAAACTAAAAAAAAAATAACATTTTTTATAAAAGTGATTTTATAATTTGACTTAATGTTGCAAATTTTATCAAAACCTGCAACTTGGGTAAAGATGCAGTGATATAAACCATTACATCATTACCAGAGTCCTTTGTAATAGAAACATTGTGGAAGAACAAAGTTTTTTCCTAAAGAAACCTTGACTGATATTTCTAAAAAAACCTTGACTGACAATATTTCTAAAGAAACCTTGACTGACAATATTTTCTAAAGAAACCTTGACTGACAATATTTTCTAAAGAAACCTTGACGGATAATATTTGCATTATAAAATTATAAAATTAAGATATAGTATTGAAATTAAATTTATAAAATTATATATATATATATATATATATATATATATATATATATATATATATATATATATATAAAATGTAATAAAACAAATTTATGAAACTTAAAAATATATAAGTTAACAAGTATTTTAAGAAGTGTTACTACACTTTAAAAGAAGCCTTTATGCATTTCAAAAACTAAATCAACTTTTAGAAAAAAGCATTTACAAAAACTTGATAATATTGTAGTTATACACTAACATTTTACTCTATGAATAGATACATCATATTTTACAATATGAATAGATAGAACTTTAATATAATAAATAATTGATACGATGTTTACTTAATTCTTTCTCCAATTCAACACCAATATGATGTGCATCACTAATTTGATTACAGATCTTTGTTCGATGCTCACCAAGAAGAAAACCATCCTGTATATATACATGTATTTATATATATATATATATATATATATATATATATATATATATATATATATATATATATATATATATATATATATATATATATATATATATATTTATATATATATATATATATATATAGAGAGAGAGAGAGAGAGAGAGAGAGAGAGAGAGTAAAAACGCTCCATCAGGAGATTAAAATTTTCTAATAATTTATTATTGTTCTGTTTTTTTAAGAACATTGAGCACTCATTTTATTACATTTTGAAGAATTCATTCAAAATTTTCCTTATATATTTAATATATATATTCAAAATCACAAGCACGTATTTAAATTGTTTGTGATTATGTTATATTTGCTACATGTTTATGTAATAATGATTATATGGTTGTACATTAACTATTATTAATAGATTAATTAGAATTTCTAATACATTTATTATAACAAAACCCCTTTCTGTATAAAAGTTTGATAAAAGAAACTGCTAAATCAGAACATATCTCTGTAAGTATTTTTTGTAATCGAGATATTTTACGACAGTTTCTAATTTAGAAAAGATCATAAGAAATCTCGATTACAAAAATTACTTACAGAGTTACGTTCGGATTCAACAGCTTCTTTTATCAAACCTGTAAGGTTTTATATAAAAAGTTAAAGAGAGGGGTTTGTTATAACAGATCTTTTAGAAAAGATCATAAGATATATCGATTACAAAAAATACTTACAGAGATACGTTCTGATTCAGCAGCTTCTTTTATCAAACCTGCAAAAACAAAACCAGGAACAAAAACTTTGACACATTTATCTTCGCAAGCCATTTAGAGTTAAATAATCATCAACAATACTGATAAAGTTTCGTATTTATAACCACATTAATCTTACATCGCTTTTATTTTTTGCAATATATATTTTTTATTTTGTAAAGTTTATAAAAAATTTCTAAGCGATCCCCAATAGGGAAAAAAATTTCCCGGAAATTTTCAACTAGCAAAATTTTCCTCAAAATTTCCGGAAATTTTGGAAATTTAAAAAAAGAGTTATTTTATTATTATTATTGTTATTATTATTATTATTACTATTATTATTATTATTATTGCTATTATTATTATTATTATTATTTTCGTTCTGATTATAGAATATAATAAATTTTAACAAAGAGCTCATACAATAATTTTGAAAAAATAAAAGCCTATGCTTCTTGTTTTAAAAAATATACAATATAAACAGAATAGGATTCAAGGAAGATAAGACTATTTCCTCAACCTTTTTTTTTTTTTTTTTTTTTTTTGTTCTTTTATCTTTATAATGTTGTGATTCTACATGATTGGTACAAAGTTGTAATGTTTTTAAAATATATAATACTAAAAATATATCACAATTTTATAGAATACAAAAAATATGATTGTAGGGTATCATTAATATTAAAAGAACGCGGGAAACTTGCAGAAGACCAGATAGTCTTGTCATCAAGAAACCGCTTGTACTTGTAATATTTTTTGTATTTTCGTTTTACAATGTATCAAGTTTCACAAAATACTTCATTTTATATTAGGTTCACATATAATAAAATGTAGAAATAAAAAGTTGGTAAATACTGTTTGTAGTACACATAATACACATAAATATATTATTAAGCATAAATATAGTTATTATTGACTTATATTGATTTTTTATATTAATATATATTATTGAAGTTTTTTGGATTTTGTTTTCAATTATAATTTTGGTTTTACTTTCAGTTTTAGTTTAGTGAAAGTTTAAATAATTGCTGATATTTAAAACAAACTTTTTTAGTAAGATTTTCAAACAATTTATGTTATCTAATTTTGTAATAATGGCATTTTTGGATATCAGTTTATTATAAAGATAGGGACCGCGAAACAAAATTGTGAAACGCGACAGTTTTGTTTTTCTGAATGGTACATTAAAGTTTCCTACTTCTCTAGTGTCATATCTATTTTTATTGCTTTTAAAAAATTCATTTAAGAAATGTGGTGGGACAAGCCCGAGTTTAAACTTTAGCATGAAGAGTAAATTTTGGTAAATGTTAATTCTATAGACGTTTAGTGCATTTAAGAGTTTAAACAAAGGTTCAGCATGAGCATGAGTTTATCTTTTTTATAGACAATTCTAATGGCATGTTTTTGATGTTGATAAAGTGATTTTAAATTAGATTTATGGGTACTAGCCCATGCTATATTACCATATGTATAATAGGTATGTATAAATGAAAAATAAAGATGTTTTAGATTTTCTTGGGATAACATTGGCCTAGCTTTGTATAGCACGCCAATGTTTTTGGTTGTTTTAGTATTTAAATAGTCAATATGGGCTTTCCATCAAATATTTTCATCAATAAGTAAACCTAGGAATTTAGTTGTTGTGGTTCTTTCGATATTTTTGTTTTTTATTCTTAGCAATGGCAATATATTTGGTAGTTTTTTTCTTTTTTGATTTGGATGGAATAAGATGTAATCAGTTTTTTCTGTGTTTAAAGATAGTTTATTAGATTTTAGCCAATTAATAAGTTTTTCGAGTTCAATATTCGTTGTTTCAAAAAGTTCTGTAATTGACGGGGATGAATAAAATAAATTAGTGTCATCTGCAAACATTATGACATCAAGTTTGTTTGAGGCTTTCGGAAGATCATTAATGTATATTAAAAACAGTAAGGAAGCTAGAATGGAACCTTGGGGAACGCCACATTTGATCTTTAGCATTTTTGAACAGATATTTTCATCAGTATTTAAACATTGCTGTCTGTTTAGCAAAAAGTTTTTAAACCAGAGTAATGCAACATTTTTTACGCCATATTTTTCCATTTTTTTGAGCAGGATTTCATGATCAACAGTATCGAATGCTTTTGATAGATCTATAAAGATTCCTAGAACAAATTCATTATTATCAAATGAGTAGTTGATGCTATTTACAAGATCTATGATTGCATGTTCGGTTGCATGTTGTTTTTGAAATCCAAACTGTTTTTTATTTAAGATGTTATTGTTTGTTAAATATATGTACAGTTTATTATAAATTACTCGTTTGAGAAGTTTTGAGAGTACAGGAAGGATTGAGATTGGTCTATAGTTGTTTAGTAAATATGGTTCTCCAATTTTATATATAGGTACAATTTTTGCAATTTTTAATTTCTCTGGAACGGTTCCTGTTATAATTGAAGATTTAAATATTTCGAAGAGGGGTTTTTTTATTATCGGAAAGATATTTATTACTACATTGCTACAAATTTCATCAATTCCTGGTGCTTTGTTGATTTTTAAAGAGTTTTTTGCATTTTCAAGTTCTTCATGGCTTAGTCCATTGAAAATTATTTCGCTATTTAGATCTGTAAGGTCTATTTAGATCTGTAACCTTTTCATTTAGTCCTTTCGACAACCTTTTTTTAAAATTTACATTCAAAATAACACCTGTTGTTTTTTGTTATAACAGGATTTTAAAAAGATATATAAAATGTCATATAAAAGCAGCCAACGTATCGAACTATACACCCATATCGGTACTTTCTGTTTTTACAAAAATCTTCGAACGTTTACTAAACTCTCGAAGATTTTTACTAAACGGTTTAGTTTATGATAGAATCTTTGATTATTTTACAAAAAATAAACTTTTTAATTCAAAACAATTCGGATTAAAAAAAAAACATTCAACTGAACATGCCATTATTGAATTTTTTGATCAAATAATTGATGGTTAAACTCGCTTATGGTTCATAACCATATGCGAGTATAACCATCAATTATCAAATAATTGATGGTTAAACTCGCTGATGGTTAAACTCGCTTGCTTATTACTTATCCTAACTGTGACGGCAGTAAGTTACTGAGTTTTAATGAGTGTCAGGGTTGGGGTCAAATAACTTTTTGCATTTGAACTTCTATTTGTATTTAGTAAAATTAGACATATTTGGCATATTTAAATTCATAATGTATTTGATTAAAAACTTTTTATATGCAAAATAATAATTTTGTATTTGCAATTGCATAAATTAGGTTAACCCTTTTTTTTTTGGGTAAAAGCCGTAATATTCCGTTGCTTTTTTTTTTTTTTTTTTTCATTTTTAACTCTAAAATAAAATAAAAACTTGTTTTTAATAGATATTTGTGAGAAGATTTGTCTGATTCTTCTATTTAATAGACCATTTTATCGGTTTTATCTTGAAAAAATCATTAAACCAAATTACAAATATTTGTATTTGTATTATGCCGAGAACACCGAGGGAGGGAGGAGGCAAAGACACTTGCTTTACTTTTTTAAGTTGGCGAATTTCGGGCAGCATCGAATTTCATGCAAATAGCCTTTGCCATCAAAAAAATCAAACTCTCGGTAATTGTTTACCAGTATTGCTTCACGTTTAATTTAATACGATCCTTTTTCGTCCAGTTACTGTTAACACCATCTCAATACTCCAAATATTTATAATAAAAAAGATGTTTTAGATCACTATACTACAAAATTTTCAACACAATAAGAAAAACTAATGGTTTTCAACACAAAATGAAAAACTGGAATCTTTTCATATCAAACTACGGAGGCCACATTACCAAGGACCGCAGAGACAAGTTTAACTAATTAATAGCGTCATAACCTGTTCTACAGGTTATGACAGGCTAATATATATATATATATATATATATATATATATATATATATATATATATATATATATATATATATATATATATATATATAAACACATGATATATATATATATATATATATATAAATATATATATATATATATATATATATATATATATAATATATATATATATATATATATATATATATATATATATCAAAGAATTTTGCATTTTGAAAAAATCTGCTAAGTTTAACATTTACAACAGAATGCACGAAATTAAATTTTATTTTGTCAACTTGCTCGAAATTGTGCAAATCGTCCAATAAAAATTTCAAAATAAAAACAATTAAATAAAACAAATATATTATTTAATTGTTTCCAAAATTAGTACTATCTTGTACATAATACGGTTGGCTGTCGAAGTTAACATTATTTTCCTGGAAGCCGTTTGTTAAGATTCTATGACGTTTGCGCCATATGTTCCTCAAACTGAAATTCGCCAACCTAGACTTGACGCTTATATTTAAAAGGTTTTTAACGACTTGATCCAACAGTTTAAACTTGAAAACGGTTTTGAAATTATTAATTGGCATAATCCACCTCTTCGCAGATCACCATCCACCGTACTAACGCGTGATTTCACTTACAATAATGCTCGACATAATTTCTTCACAAATCGTATTGTGAATGATTGGAATTATTTACCGTTGTCATGCAAAAAGGCTCCATCAATTAACGCATTCAAAAGTAGAATTGACAAGCATTTTTTTCCTACAGCTGCAAACAGTGCATCTTTTACTGAAGATGAGCTGCACGTTTAAATTAATTAATTCGTGCTCTAGCAGCTACAAATATTGACTTTTTAGGCACATTTGTAAACAACATAAACGTAAACTGTAATTAAATAAAAGCAAAAAAAAAAAAAAAAAAAATAATGATAAAAGAAAAAAATAAATTAAATAAATAAAAAATGCTTTTTGTTTATTTAATTGTTTTTTTATTTATTTATTTTTATGTAATTTATAAAGACTTATATAAATATATTACTATTACTTTTATTATATTACTATTACTAGAGGACTTTTTTTTTTTTAATTTACAATTGTGCAATTTGAAACCCGTGTCGTCGACCCTGGTATTTGGATAATGCCGATTAAATATATTTGTATTTGAATTAGGAATTGGAAATCTGGAGTAAACATTTTGGAATTTGTATTTGTATTTGATCAAATATGTTTGACCCCAACCCTGCTGAGTATATTGAGAAATAATGACCTCAACCTTGCATCGCTGGATAAAGGGGGGCTAGGGGGGGCTATAGCCCCGAGCCCCGCAAATTTAGGGGCCCTAAAAAATATTAGAGGACCTTTTTTTATTTTTTATTTTTAGTCATTTTTAGGCTCTGGTTCATTAAAAGGCCTCCAAAAATAAAAATAGCCCCGGTCCCCAAGAAGTCGTAATCAGCCACTGCAACCTTGCTGATTTTTTGATCAAATATGTTTGAAAGTTGCGAAGTTTCCAAACCCCCTAAAATGAGAAAATTATAAACTTTATATGGTCATTATTTTGTACGTTTCAAATTATAAAGTTTTAAAATAAGTTGTGTAGCCGAATTCCAAAATGGTGGACCCTATCTTTGCCGGTGTTTTGACCTTTATGTGGATAACATTTTTGTGGGAAACTTATTTAAGTTACAGACAAGTTAGTGCTACAATTGTTCCATCTATTTCAAATACACATGAATCTAATTTCATTAATTTATTCTAAGTTAATATAAATCCAGTTGTATAAATAAATCCGTTGGATATTTATTTGCTAATGATTTAAATAATGATTTATTAAATAATAATAGAGAAAACTATGATGTTAAAAGATAATATTAGATATGGTGAATTTCTAAAGTTGGCTGACTATTGCCATATAATGCTATTAAAGTTTTTGAATCATTGATTAGTTTAATAGTTTTCAAATTGATAAAAAAAAAAAAAATACGATCAAATTTGTTATGTTACTACAGTTTTTAAAATAACAAGTTCAGTTCAGATTTTTATGTCTCTCATACATAAATATGAGGATATTGTCAATATTAAATCAAGTTTTGAAATATACCATATTTAGCATTAGCTATTTACATATAAATATTTATGTTTTATTAGCTTTTATATACACTTTATATATATATATATATATATATATATATATATATATATATATATATATATATATATATATATATATATATATATATATATATATATATATATATATATATATATATATATATATATATATATATATATATATATATATATATATATATATATATATATATATATATATATATATATATATATATATATATATATATATATATATATATATATATATATATATATATATATATATATATATATATATATATATATATATATATATATATATATATATATATATATATATATATATATATATAT